TTCCGTGTTGGTTTTTCTTGTTTCGACGTGTAAAGTACCTGTTATCTATCGGTCCATAAGGCTACGCTTTAGCACCATATACAACTGATTTATTTCGTTTTAGTCTTCAAAAGTTGTACGACAATTTGATGAGCAACTTTATATAAATGCAGGGCTCGACGTTCAATTTGATGTCGGTTTGAACCAATTTCGATAATAGTACGTATTTGAAGAAATATCCCTAGCAATGTAGATGTTTCCACAATATCTTTTCTAAAAGAGTTCTTCTAGTTCTTTTCTAAAATTTTAATCGTAAATATATTCTCATAATACAATATCAAGCATGTACAGCAAACGAAATATGTAGTAAAAAGAAATCTTTCATATACCACTATAAAACATCCTAATGCATTAAATAAAATAATTTCGAAATAAAAATAGTCATTGAACTCTTCTGATTTTCTATATTTATCCATTGAATACCGCATGTCTTGATAAAAGACAATTCCAGATTAGTTGCCTGAATAACACGACTATTGATCGGTACATGTGCAATACGATGAACATTTGATTTTTCTTTTCTAGTTGAAACCGGCAGAAGAGGTTTAAACACAAATGCATTCTTTTGTTTTAAATCATGAACAAGTTCATCAATTTTCTCTTTTGTTACACTTTGCATAACGAACATATGAACATACTCTGTCTTTACACCATCAAGCTCCAACGACATTTCCGATAAACTATATTTAAATATAATATCATCATTTGGTTTACGAAATCTTAATGCAAGCGATAGTGGTGTACGCCCTACCCATAGTTGACCATGATAGACATTCTGATCTAATTCTGTTAATTTTTCTTCGGCATATTTTGCTATATTTTCTACTTCAATAGCTTTGGTTATTTCTTTCTCAACGCTAGTATTAGCGTAATAACACCATAGTGCAGCTGGAGAAATAGCATTACGTGAACCAGCAAATGTTGTATCAGGTGAACCGAGATATTCAGGGTCATCAGGTGGAGCAATTTGATATTTATGTTTTGTCATATAAATGCCACTAGGCATCGGGCAACCCGGATATTTATGTGCACTAGTGACAATTGAATGAACAAATTTTAAACTAAAATCAAATTTTGGACCACGTTGTTGCATACGACCAGTTTCATACGCTTTTTCAATAAATGGTAAATATGATGCACCTAATGCACCATCAACATGAATCCAATAGCCTGTACGTGTATCACATTTAGTTTGATCTGCAGGATCATAATTAACTATACGCTCGTCAAGTTTGTAACGTTTAAGTATAGGCATTAAACGATTACCAATTTCTTCAACATCATCATATGCACCTTTGAATGTTGTACCAACGTTAAGTATAATTAATGGTGGAGAACCTGTGGCAGCAAAAAATTCAACTAATTGTATAAGTTTATCTATATCAACCGATCCTGGTCCATTATTACCATTTTTGGATGGAACTTCTTTTGGCCACGTACCATCTGATGTAATAGGACATTGACCTTTATATTCTTTTTCACCTATTTCATAAAACGTTTGAATTTCAAGTGCTCGAACTATTTTTGTTATTGAGTAATGTGTATCATCGGAATAAAATGCTACAGGATGATAAGCATGTGGATTTTCAGTTTCTGTCACTGGTCTTATATATGATAGGTGTTTATTTTCTTTAAATAAAGCTTTACCTTTAAGATAATCTCGAGCATTATAAAGAGCATATAGATTTCCTTCTGTACTTCCCATACTCAATACATAACCCCAGTACGATTCTGGATTGGATTGTTTACTAGGTATTTGTGCATGCCATAAATTTGCAAAATAATCAAGTACAGTTCGTTCCATGATTTTAGTATTAACTGTACAATTTCCGCTTACAAATGGATCACCAATATTATTCGTCTGGACGTCGAGCATGAATGAAAGCTTTTTTGAATAATGAACGTTTTCATTCAACTGATAACCAAGAAAATTTTGTTGTTGTTTTTTCAAATATGTTTCAAGTTGTTCAAGAGCTTTACGTTGACATTCGTCTGTTAAACCTTCCGGTGACAATTGAAAAAGTTCATAATCGAGACCATGTATTTTAGGATACACACTACTACTTTCATTTGCTTCTATCTTTTGTTTTTTATGTTTCGTTTCACTATCATTCACTTCAATAGCTTTCTGTTTTAATTCAAGTACTTTATCAATAGTAGAATAAATATTAGCTTTCCATTCTTTAAGTTCATCCAACGTTTTCTCTTTTATTACCACATTACAAAGATTTTGTAATTTATTAGAGTATTCATCTGAATCAGTGACTTGTGAATGCTTTTTAACCAATGTATGTTTTCTTGTATTCATTGTAGTCTAAAAATTGAAACATCATTTCGACTATTGCATGGCATAAAACGCTTTACTATAAAATAAATTCAGTTAATGTTGGTTCTTCTACAAGAATTTGTTGTAAAAAATCTTACGGGGAGGAATCCCTTCTCCGTTTCCAAGATATCATCAAGCGTTTACAGCTAGTAACACCTAGGAGTGTATCGGTTGGATTTTTCGTATTTTTCAAAAATTCATAATAAATAAATGGTTTATATTTTCGTCAAACCGAGTTGCAACAATCTTTTTGACATGGCAGTTTCTTAGAGAAAACATTTCTCTACAAGACAGTGTACAGACAGTATTTTAGAAGCTTTTTGTTTCCTTTTAGAAAGTGTTTTTCTCAAACCTATGGTCGGTTAAAACCGTCTGTCATAAGCGCGGGTTTTAACCGATACGCCTCTCTATTAAAAACGCTTTTTAAAGAAACCAAAAAACTTTAAAATTAACTACTATATGCTATCTTGTAGAGAAATGTTTTCTCTACAAAACTGCTGTTTTATAAGGATGTTGCAACTCGTTTTTACGAAAATATAAACCATTTATTGTGAATTCTTGAAAAATACGGAAAACAACCGATGCACTCCTACTACCAACACCTAACTCACAATTAGGACATGTTCTGATAGATCAGCAAAATTTTCATATTTATGACAAGTCCATTTTCTCAGCTATTTTGACAGAGAAACAAAGGGTAAATACGCCCTGTAGCATTATGAATAGGTAGTGTCAATGGAAAAAATCCTCCTTATACTTCTCTTTATGAGGTAACACATTTTTCGCTTACGAGAGAACGTTCCGAACTGACAAATCGCTTTCGGGCCTTAACCTAGTGGACTGTAGGTAGTCGACCATGTTGATTCCGAATGTCAACATTAGACGTGCTGCTTGGCCTCTAGATACTGGTTTTCCAGAAACTCGAGAGAATCTGCGAAACTTTTCTTAATAAGTCGCGAAATTCTAATTAAAATGAGACATCCCTCAGCTTTAGACGACCTTTCTTTGCAAAGTTATAGAATTTACAAGAAAAACCCTCAACTCCTTTTGCCTTTTTCTTGCTATATCTATGTGCTGAGATGACAATGAACATTTAGGTCTTTTCTTGTGGATTCTATAACTTTGCAAGAAAGGTCGTGTAGGATTGGGGGATGTCTCATTTTAATCAGAATTTCGCGCGCTACAAACATGACGTATTCAGAAAAGTTAGTTTCCGGAAAACTAGTTTTCTAGAAAACGAGTCTATGGAGGCCTAGCAGCACGTCTCATGTGGATATTCGGAATCAGCATGGTCGACTACTTATAGACCACTAGTTTTCGGCCCCAAAGCGATTTGTTAGTACGGAACGTTCCCTCGTTAGGAGGATACGCTTGTTCTGAAATTGATTCTGAAATATGTTCAGGCCTCAAATTTAACATAAGTAAAAATGAGTTTTTTTAGTAAAACTCTGACCATATACTTACACTTGCATATTTTTCTCAGCAAAGACATCAGCAGTCCTTTTGATTTTAAGATCATGTCAACTACTATCCATAGTCGAGCTCCGAGATGTATAGATGCAAAGAGTTTAAAGATATTACGTAAGATATTTTATTCAAACATTTTGCTATCTTTTCTTCTGTTTATACCAAAATGGCATGTTTCATGTAATATCTCTAAACTCTTTCTACTAATATGTGCCAAAATTTGAGTACAGATTCTCGTAAACATGGACTATATCTGGCATTAAAATAAAATAGTTAATGATGCCCTTGATGAGGTAACTAACATTTCAGACATCAGACCACAGATATATGTTATGCACTCTTTCTAATAGTTCTTGAACACAATGTGCGAGCGTTCTCCTGAGAGAAAAATGTGCTATCCACAGAGATAAGTGTAATGACTAAAAATCGTCTATTATAGTGTTACTAATTGAGAAAAATTATTTCCCGTAAAATTTGGATACTCTAACTCGGTCGTTTACCTGTTTTTGTGTGCTGCTCTGTGCATAAGAGTTGAAAAAATAATTAAATCCTTTTTATTTAGCTTTGATGGCGATGTATGTGTGTACTTTGTCACAGCACCTTGTTAAACAAATCGATCTATTGTTAAAAAACTATTGTTCATGCTTCAGTACGCTTTCTTTTCTAATGACGTTGCTATAACAAAGTATACAGTACAAAGTACAGTTTCACCTTGAACTGTTGTTTTGTTCAGCAAGTACATATAGGACATTTACCATCAATAAAAAAAATTTCCATTATCTTAGAGTATAGAAGAGATTGCGATTTTGGAGCTTGCAGAAGTATTGCCGTATACGCTTTTAAAGTGTAAGACAGTAAGAGATTTATGAGAAGATAATATTTCACGGTAAAATGTTTCATATTAATCGTATAATAAAAAGGAAAAGATATTATGAAAACATCCATGTGGATAGGGATATTTCTTCAAATACGTACTATTATCGAAATTGGTTCAAACCGACATCAAATTGAACGTCGAGCCCTGCATTTATATAAAGTTGCTCATCAAATTGTCGTACAACTTTTGAAGACTAAAACGAAATAAATCAGTTGTATATGGCGCTAGAGCGTAGCGTTATGGACCGTCGCCATCACCTGAAATAAACTCCAAAACTTATGAAAACATAGGTTATCCCTTTGTTTACCAGCGTCCAGAATTCAGGACGCTTTTCTTAAGTTTCCTGATTTCCGAATAACTTTTGAACGCAAAAAGATATCAAGATACGATGATGCAGTTTTGTCTACTAATCTCTAATATGTTTTTAATTCTGCTTGCAAGTACATGGAACGTGAGAAACACGCAAAATAAATGAAATGACTTGGGGTTAGGGTGAGCGTGAAGTCTTCTTGACAATATTTTACTACGCATATTTTTCCCCAAAGGTTTCATTACTATATTTTTACATGATTATGACGAACATTAACCCCAGAAGTTATGGTAGGATAAACGCCCCTTGGTTGCTCGCCCTTGCCTTCCTATGTATGTTTCAATGGAGGATGCTTATTTTCAATGAATTTTCCTAACCATACACTACTACATACACTATCAAAAAGTAGTGTCCTTGGCTATTTCGCGAATAACTTTTGATAGAAGAGCGTCAGAGACTTGTAGTTTCTAGGTTTTGAATTCAGACACTTGAAGACGCCTTTTAGCAGGCCAAAAGTCATAATTTCTCCAAAAGTTGGAAACCTGGTTTTCCGGAGAATCTTCGGAAAACTACCCGTTTCGAAACTTTCTATTGAATTTTTCTTTCTTTTTTTGCATGAGTCTGTACATCTGACTGTTCTCTTTTCAAATCCAAAGGAATTAAGTTTTTGTCTCTCAAGGTTTCGAAGTTACAGGCATTTTTTGACGACAAGTCTGTTTCATTTTGGCCCACTTGGCCTAACTAAATAGCTAGCCCTCATACTTTGTGTGAATAATCTAAAAACATTTTAGAGTATCTGGTATAACATTTCTAGATTGAGTTTGAGTTAGATTGTACGTTTTTGGAAAAGGGACTCAAACTTCAAAACTGACTCTCAGTCGTAAAATATCTGTAAAATTAAGAGCTAACATTTCTAATTCATACCATAGATAGAAGGGAGTCTGAGCTACAGTTTAATAAAAAGAAAAAGTTTTTACCTCTCTTGGGTCAGGAGTTATTAGCATGAGAAAGAAATTAAACGCTTACATCTCACGAACCATCTAGGAAAAGAAGCCTAAACTTTGTAGGTGATCAGCGTTCTGTGAAAACAATGATCATACATATTTCGAAGTCCCTGGCTATCATTATTATTGATGGGCGTTTTTTATTAACGTGAGTTTTTTCACTATATTTTTCCTTTATCTATGGTTTTACCTTTAGTTTTGTTGCTTTTATTTGAGTTAGGGATGATTAAGATTTGTGTTAACGAGGAGTCAACTGTTTTTGAATGTGGGCTTAACTCATATAATGTAAGGTGGATCCTATTTCATTGTGCTTCTATGGGTTTTGTACTTTATTTTTAAGTTTAGTTTTAGAGTTGATGAATGTTAGTTGCGTACCTTTGGTAGTGTTTATGGTTATAGTTACAATTAGGTTTAATAATTGATTGATTTGTGGGGAGCTTGAGATGGGTAGAATAGCATCAGAGTGAGGCGGCAGCTCTTCCCGGTTCTGTACTACTAAGTGGCCATGCTACAAATCTTTGATTTGTTTTTTCCATCAAATCGGTTAATATTATATTTGTTGATTTGAGATTGCAATTCTCGGTTTAAAAGTATTAGTGTTTCTTATTGTAGAATTTATGTTTCTATTGTTTAAGGGCACTCCCACTTTCCGGATGTGAAAATATTTTCCCAGTTTTGTCCAGAACGGCTCGACAAAAAATTCTGAAACTTTCAGGATAGATAGATGTCTAAAAACATTTTAGAGTATCTGGTATAACATTTCTAGATTGATGTTTAATTTGTAATAAAGTTGTTAATTCGAAAGAAGATATTCCTTCCCGAACTATGTTATCACCCATTAACCTTAACAAAATATACGATGTATGTGTTGACAAAACAAATGAACATTTAAAAACAGCATCGCCATTTCCAACAGTAACATGTGACATTTGGTGTGACAAATATATACATCGTTCTTACATTTGTTTCACCATACATTATCTTGATTCAAATTTATATTTACATAAATAGAGTTTAAAAACAGAAACATTTGATGGATCACACACTGAAGAAGCTATAAAAGATGTATTTCCTATTGTTATGAATGAGTTTCATTTAAATTTAATTGATATAATCGTAGTGAGTAAAACATACATAGACTTTTTTTAAATTATTTTATGTTTTTCGATTTTTTGATAGGTTTCTGATAAAGGTTCAAATATGCGTAAAGCATGAAAATTGTTGAAGGTGATCCACATGTTTTGTATTGCACATGGAATTCATAATTTGCTAATGGTCGATTGTTTTCCTAAATTAACCGGTGTTTCAGATTTATGGAATAAAGTCCAGACGATAATTAATAAACTTCGTTATCGTCAACATGAACTTGAAGAAGAATTTATTCGATTAAATGATCAAACAAAAAATGATTTATTACAAGTAATAAATAAGGCTGGTGAAGTTTTAGATGCTGATTTGGCATCATCATATATCGACACAGACGATTTAGATCAATCGAATAAGGACAAGGAAAATTATGATTTCCAATTAAACCCAAGAAACAATCAATGTTCATCAAAATTTAATTGTTGAACATTAACAAATACAACTAATTCCGATGAATTTCATACATTAAAAAGACGTATCCCAACTCGTTGGAATACGATTTTGATTATGCTTCGTTCATATGCATCAAATATATCTGGAGTTGAAATTATAGTACGTCGCTTAAAACAATATGATTTAATCTTATCTCCTACAGAAAATCAAATCGCCCATGATTTAGTAGAATTTCGTTCTTCATTCGAAACAACCACAACTATTCTATCAGCATCTAAATCTTATCCAAAAATGAGTTTATGTTTATTATTACGTTTAGTAAGTATCAAGTGTTGAGCTTTGAATTGTTCTGAATGAAAATTAACTGGAAATATTTGAGATCATAGTATTAAAAGATATTTATAACGATTCAATGCATTTTCTTTTGTGAAATAAAGAAAACTAACTATATCTTTCATCATACAACATGTAGGAAGAGATTGAGTTAACCAAATATATTCATTTAATTATTTTTTCATTTTAGAAAATTGAATCGATACTACACATAATTGGAATAGAATCTTCAGTAATTGAAAAATTGAAACTTTTACTAACTTAGAATCTAGATAAACGATTTCCAATAACACCAATTAATACATGTGCTTTTCTTCTTGATCCATCACAATTGAAAATCGATATTAATCGTTATTTAATTCAAAGTTCAACAACGAAAGAAAAAATATTGCTGGATATGATTAAGAAATTTAAAATCGATCATGTTTGCTTTTTTGCTTTATTTCATTGCCATTATGTTTTGGTGAATGTGTCTTTCTAAATATATTATTAGCGTCTCTTTATTTGTATATATAGTTTCAAGTCATGGTATATACAGTTGTTTTATATGCACATATTTTTTTCAAGATATTAATATTCAAATATGAAAATAAAAAAACAGATACTGCTTATTTTTGAAAAAGATTAATTATTTTTAAAATTTCTAGTCGCCGCCGTCGGATGGCTAAACACCCCGAGCCGCTGCCGCCATGAGCAAAAAAAATTTAAAGTTTTACAGCCGCCGCCACCGAACGGGACACAGATTCGAATCAGCCGTCGCCGAACTTCCAAAAAATTAAAAAATACGAGCCGCCGCCGCCGACTAACTGCTCGGCTTACACCTCTAGTCTCAGTCATTATTACGTAAGCAAATATCTTGTTTCGTAAACACTCTGTCGATTGTATAAACAAGATACCTCATTTCTTGTTTTTTTCTTAATAAAATATATATTCTCGGATGACGTTACAACAGCAATTGCAGCTTTTCTTTTTTCTATACTACATAACACGTATACCTGTACCTATGCCAGAAAGGTAAAAAGCACAATCGGTTAAAAAACGCGATGAGTATCGGTCATAAAACTGGTGTGCTTCAGAAAACTGGGATTAAAGTTCGCTGCACGTTGTGCGGGTAGAATGCAGAGGTTTATATTATAGGAAAGGGTTAGTGTAAGCTTTTCAGGAGTTCATATATTTACAATCACATTTTTTCTTTTCTTTATGCACTTTGTGTTTGATGTTTTTGTTTCTGATTGGTTTTTTTCTAAGGTTTAAAGCTTAAGCTGCTTTTTTTTCCTACGATTTTGCAGTCCACGATTTCTTCCACGGATTTCCTTTTAACTTATTTTTCGTACACTTCATTTATGGTTTTCTATTACAGTGTAGGTTTTGCTCTACCACCTTCAGAGACTAGAATTGAGTCAACATCTGTTGACACATATTCGACTCGGTCCGAATTTTCGCTGACTCAAACTCGAACTGTTTCGAACAAATTTTCAGACACAAAGGTGGTCTGAATCTGATCCGAAATTTTACAAAAACAACCGCCGCAAGCTTCTAGAGAGTATCTAGTGCAGCAAGATGTGTGGAAAAGTTCGAGTCGTAAACTGCCGAACAATATTTAGTTTTGGGTGGAATACAAGGGTGATTCTTTTGAACGTGTACCAGAGTTTACATCGACTTTATCCCAACAATTCGAAAGTAATAGAACCAGGGATGCCGCGACAAATCTGAAAACTGCTGGTGTATTTTTGGTCTTTTTCTTAAAAGTGTCAAGGATGTTTTTGACCACAATCTGATCCAACCCTAAATGAAGGCCAACCAAGCCTCCATTTCGAACTCTATCACGTGTAGCTAGATTCTTTTACCTAAGAGCTGTTCTAGTTCTTCTGTTGAATCATATGCGTAAACACAATATATATTGTTACTATTCAGGCATAAAAAAATTCTTTGGGAATAAACAGTGAGATACTAAAATCTGTTTCATCCCGCTTCGTACAATCCACGAGCAAAAATTGTTTGTCCACTTGAGACCGCTACAAAATGTTCTGTAGAAAAATGTGTATATACACAATAATTTGTCTAAATTTTAGCATACCGTATCAGAAATATGTATATTTTCACCTTCTTAAACTGTATAACGCGCTAAAATTTGGTCACGAATAATTTACTTACTTTATATTTAAGTAAAGTACCGTGATTATTCTAGTTCTAGTTCTTTCTTGTTTTGTTTTTCTAGCTTTCGAATGGCAGGAGAATTAAATTTAAAATATACTGTAACGGACTTTCCTCCACCACTCCATAGTATTAGCCATTTTAAATTACAAGACGTTTCTTCACCAATGGATTTTCACCCTCCACAAAAGCATCATTATTTGCCAAATTCATTATTACCACATGCTCATTTTCCTTCAAATTGGTTTCATCATGAAGCAAAATCGGGAGGCATTAGACCATTTAGAACAAAAGTGCAACATACATTACCAGAAACTAATACGAAACATATTTGGCAAAGTAGACGACATTGAAAACATATTTCTTAGGTAGTTAAACTATCATCTGAAAATGTTATTCGACCACACCTGGCATTGGAACATAAAAAATTAAAGCCATGGTATAAACGATTATGGTGTTTTCATCCAAATCGTGTAGCATATTGGACAGCCATATTATTCATCGTTGGTTCATTTTGTTTATCTATCTGTTCATATGTACCGATACTGTATAAGAAAATTTTATATTATAGAATTTCTATTGAATCTCCAAATTTGATTGGTATTCTGTTTTTCGTAATAGGATCAGTTGTACAAATAATTGAAGTATACATGGTACCAAAATTAACTAATATCAATCACTTTTTTATCACAAATGAACAAAATCACAAACGAAATCCTCTGAATACAATAAGAAAAAAGGATGATTCACATTTTGTTATTAAACGTATTCAGCAACAACAAGCACCATCTATTACCTGCTGAATTACCACCGGTACAATTAGCTCTAGAGTAAGAAACACCAGTACACAGTGGGCGATTTTTGATAGGCACGTGGACATTTGGTTTTAAAACACTCCAATACACTAAAAAAATACTTTTTATAAGTTTTGGCATGTGCTCTTTCTTATGGAGTGGTTTCCAGAACTCAGAGGTACTTGAAAGCGGGTTTTCTAGAAATCCTTGTTTTTTCAGAGACCAAAATGGACTTAAAAATACCTAGTTCTGATTCGAAAATCATTTCTTATAGGGTTTTGAGTATGCTGCTTTTGAAGCTAGCAATAGAAAGTTTTTCAGAACCTTCTAGAAGGTTTTATGGAAATCCAGTTCTCACATTCCTAAAAATAACAATCAGTAAGTGTGGCCTCGGTCGAACAATTAACGGCTGCTCACAAACTACATTGTGAGCCAGAGGTTGTGTAGCATTTTAGCTTTCTACTGAGGTAATCATCTCAACTGTACCCTCACATCCAGATTGTTATTACAAAAATCCAGAGACCCAACGCCTTATCCTTGTTCATGACCGTACCACATCCATAATCGAACACCATCACCCTGGTTTATGGTCTTTGCAGACCCCTAGTTTAAGGTCGATTGCGGACCCATAGTTTAATGTAATTGCGAACAAAAATGGTTAAAAGACGATTTTCATCGAAAACTGGACTTTTGATGAAAAAATAGTTTGATTCGAAAACAGCTCAAGACACAAAGTGAGATGCAGTTTCTCGTACTGATTCTGAATATACCATTACTTTCTTTCAAAAGTGCTTTGGAAGAAGGAAAAGTAAGAAAAACCCTCAGAAACCTAAGGTTTTCTGGAAAACCTATATTTCGCTCCAGGTGCATTTATGCATCTTTATGCATGTACAGTAGTCGCAACACATGTGAAAGAACGTCGTGTACAAATTTCATCATTATCTGAGCCGTGCTAAAATGTGTGCGCTCACTTCACTGATGATATCTTTCTGCAGCATCTCACTGGAGAACACAATGCTACTAGTAGTTTTTTTTGCAAATATGCCATCCTCTGAACAAAACGGCAGAAGCCTTTTCATCGAAAACATTACATCGAAAACAAAACCTAAATCTCATTTACGTTGCATTTTGGAATTTAGAGAAAAGATTCTGGATAATTTATGATTGGCTTTCGTAAGCTGCTGTTACCGTATTTCGAACTTATAGAGAATATCGAATGGCGGCTTTTATTATGCAGTTAAATGTATTTTTGTTTAGATCATACACAATATATGCCTGTTGTTCAGCTGGCTATTATACATTGAACGCACATCAAATCAGATGGTTAGTAAGGTGCCGGTAATTCAAAACTGGAGTGAATTTTTTTTCTCGTTCGTTTATATATGGTTTGAAAGCCCTTGAAAAGCTGATCAAGAATATATACTTTTTATTTCGATTCGACCTCTCTTTGGCCGAAAAAACTTTAAAAAACTGGAGATGACTAAAAAATAGCATTTTTACGTTGAATTTTTTTTCTTTAGAAATTGTCAAATATTTATTC